AATATTTTCAAATTTCACATGTGAAATTTTTATAACCTCCAGATAATTATAAATTTTTTTTCGAAAAAACTTTATATTTTATCTTTTATTTTCACTACTGTATTTTTGTATGGGTTGGTTCTATTTGACCGACTTCGTAACCTGAATAAATAATTAGGAAATAAATATAAATTATGTTTCTTTCATTCTAGAATGACTACAAATTATAACATGAAAACACAAGTATTGTCTAAATTGATTAAATTTCATAACATCATACATTTATATATACTTCTACATTTATTATATTGACCTTTCAGCCATGCCTGGTTAACATTTCTGAAGCAATGACATGGCACATATGCACCGATGTCACTGTATCTAAAAATATAAAACTGACCTTTACAAAGTGACCTGTCTTGGCTGTATTTTAGTGGACTAGTATTTTGTAAAATACAGTCACATTTCAGTTATAATACATTATGTATGTATACATATATATACATAAATTACTATTTATAAATAAGTTCTTAAATTAATTTTTCTCAAACATAGAACAGTAAATAAAGAAGTATAGCAAACAATTATCTCTTCTAGTTACAAACTTTGTACTCATTTGCCATTTGCCTTAGGTTGTTAACTCTTATCAAATTTCACACACGGAGGACGTGAAACGAAATAATTTTTTTTAAAGTTTTATATATACATTTTGAAATAACCAAAAATCATAAATTACTATATCAATACAATTGAATTCCAAGATAATCTATCAAACCTCGTAACTAAGCTGTCTAAAACATTATCAAATTTCGAGCTCAATAAAGTTTCACCTTACCTTTTCAAATTCAAGCTTTAAAAGAACAAGTTTGGTGCTGAATATTTCAATTATGCTGAGAAAGCCACTAGGGGACATTCTGAGCTGACAACTGGTTATTCACACGTCAAAGACAGAAGTAAGTTTATATAAGGGAGTGTTTACAAAAATGGAAAGAGGTGGGTGGGGCCACTATGTTTGATTCGTTACATATAGCAATATCTCAGCAAATAGAAAAGATAGGAGGTTTTTATTTGATATTCTAGCTTGTCAATATTGGTAAATTGAGTGCCTAATTTGTAAGAAACTACTTGCACATCATAAACATATAATTTGAACCAATGCTGCATTCAACATACCACGTGACACACAAAAATCGATATTTAGGGGTTTTAATATTTACTTTTGAATTAAGAAATTAAATAATGTATAATATTAAAATGTGAATTATAATCTACAACTTGATACCAAACTTATTGACATACATTCATAAAATAGAAGTTCAATAAAAGTTTGAATGTGGGTCAACAGACAGGATGAAATGACCTCTGACCCATGACCATAGGAAGACCCATAGAGATGGGGTTAATGGCAGGGTATCAAAGCAATTCCTCAAAGTTGGTAATGTGTAGAATATCTTACATATAATTCAGATTATCAAGTTAAGGTCTTGCACCAGAACAAACATTTAATGTCTTTTATTTTTATTTTCAATACTTCCTAGATACTTTCACTTCAAGACTAATATCAATAAGGTGGTCAATACTTCATGTGTAGGTTTGCAAAGGAATTTTGAATAGGTAAAAAATTTGCAATCTTATGTTAAGCTTAGCAATTAAATTTTACCAATTTAAGGTCACACAGAACATTGCACCTGCCAGGCAGCAGATGTCAATGTTCCAAAAGTTTGTTTGATGATAGACAGGTCTAATCAGGTAGAATACTGTTCTGTATAATCAAAATACAGTTATTTTCTCTTTTTGCTCCTTGGCTTCTATGTATAATATAATACAATGGTCATGAAAAAGGTAGATACTGTGAAATGTTGCATGCATTGTGAAATTCTGTCTATAGTATAATCATATAAATATATCAGAATCTGACTGAACAATACCTGTGCTGCAGTTTTGGCAAATAATGTACTTGCCAAATGGTTATCCCACCTCTCAAATTCTGCCCGTCTTTACACTGCCATTTGTTCCATTATTTATCTGCCCTCACTTTATGCAAGTGAAAATTGTGAGCTGTTAATACAAATTATTACAACAGTTTTGCAAATATATTAATTAAAGAACTATAGTAAGAACAAAACAAATGCATTTTTCAGGATTTGATTTGTGAGTGAAAGTTTATTATTTAAACCTATGAATGTGTGTTAATTTTTTTAAACTGCAAATGCAAAAATCAAGCAATAACCTGTTTTTGATTTAAAATGGTTTACTTCAAATGTCTCTTTAGTTGTATTTATTTAATTATTCTGCAGTTACATGGTTTCTTAATTGAAAATTTTCAAGATTTTAAGTTTAAATTTTTTCCCTTTTTAAAAGATTAACTTTCATCCTGTGTTACACCACCATGAAATCTACCATTTAAATAGTTGATGCTATGACATTTGAGACTTTTCAGTTACTATGCCTGTGAAACGTAGATTTATAGACTGTAAATTTAAGAGGGCCCTATGTATACAGACAGTTGCTTTGTTTTAAGTAATGGTCACAGTACACCTAACTTTACAGGGATAGAAATAATGAAATAAAATTACATTCATTTAAGGGAAAGCTATCAGGAATATTACATTCTCTCATGTAAAGTTGCATTTTATCATGATTAATCAGTGCAATATGTTCACTTTTGTTGGTCATAACTAAAGCAATACAGATGGACCGTGCATTCCTGATCGGGAAAGCCAACTAAAAAGATGAAATTCCTCAAGTGAAGTTAAGTTCTTCGGGAATGCGGGAATGTAATATTTTGGGCCTTGCTATATGAAAGCTAAGATTTGTTCAGTTTTGTAATAATGGTATATTAGAAAAAAGTTACATTTAACATGACATGTTACTGACCAGTACTTGCAGCATACCAGTCACCTATAGTATTTTATGCTGGATGTATCTAGTATCTTTATAAATGACTTACATTATTATGAATATTACGTTAAGCAAAACTGTGTTCAAAAATTGAAATAATAAAAGCATTCATATAATTTAAAACCAATGTTTAAAATTGTTTAGTGTGTGTTTCTGCTTTCTTCACAAACAACTTAGTTTCTCTGAGTACCCTAATCTAAGATCACTCATCTGTTCAACATTACAAAATGGAAATTCACAAAGTTTTAGAATACTTCAGAAAATTTCCAATATTTTTACAAAATTGCTGGTGGAAATTTATTGCTCTCAAAATTCCTAGAAACTTTGCAACCCTATTCATGTGCAAAGCATGTATGACTTTTTAGCATTTTGTTTGAGAATAAATTTTAACAAAGATTTTGAGATCTTATCTTAAAACTAAAGAACTAAATTAAGAGATGATTAGGCTTTATCAATCACTTTTAGGTGCTGGATAGTTCAGTAGGGAAACTCCTGCTGGCTTGCAGACTGCTTTTTGGTTTCTATCTAGAAAATGTTGAAGAAGGATGTTTGATGGCACAGGCTTATCAGCTTGACATCTGTTGTTAATAAGATATTGAAAAGTGATTGGTAAGGATCATTCAGATAATAGTTCTTAGAAATTGTAACTATTATTTAACATTGAGAATGGTTTTTATTAAGGAACTTAAAAATGTCTTTTTGTTTGTAGGAAAGAGGCACAATTGTAGATGCTGTTTATCTTGTCTACAAGAGCACTTTGAAGAGGTTCTGAGTAAAAAGGTGTGAATGAAATTAAATTATTTTGGCAAATATTTAAAGTTCATAAGAGATTGAAATGTGTTTTGTGATTGGGTGAGATTAACAGTTTTTTTTCAGTTGTCTATTTTAAGACATTAATTGTTCATTGTATACAAACACTCATACACAAATAAAAGGTATGCCAACATTGGTTTGTATTTAAATGATACGAAATATAAAGTAGTACGTTAAGAGGTTAAGAATCATAAAAATCACATACATTTTGGTGTTAGGAAAATGAAACGTGTTGTATAATGAGTAATAAATAATACTTATTTTATGTTTCGTAAGAATACATATAAAGACAGGTAGGGTTGTGAATAGTTTTTTCATGCATCAAGTAATAAACACTATTTCCTAGAAGCAATTATTCAATAATTTTGAAAACATGAATTCTACTGATGCAATTATACTATGCTTAAAGAATCATCTGTGTAGCTCTTTTAAACTTTTGTTTTGTACATTTATCAAATGAATGTTAGGTATTAGAAGTAATCACATCCAAATATAATTTCTCCAAAGACTAGTTTTCTAGTCAATCAAATTACATATATAGTTCAAATTCATTACACCTCCAACTGTGCATACTACTAATTTGTTAGATTATTATTTGTTTAAAAACTGGCAAATTACCAGTGTCCTATTATTTCCAAAGAGCTTAATTTAATCATTGCTGGTGACCAAGTTTGGGGTAAAAATGGAAATTTTGTTCTGTATTACAGTTAATATTATATGTATGATTATCAAATATTATGGACTTGCATAAGTCTTACAATAATAATTTGCCTTTCTAGCTCAAGTGAAGGCTAAATTGTAATTTTGACAAGGCACCTTGCTTCTTCTCACATACATAGCTATTCTCGTTCAGTTCTGCCCTCTATTTGCACATTTTTGTTTCACATGCCACAAGCCTTTCACTTCCATGTACCCCTCGGTTCACATGGTTTAACTAAATCTCACATGCAAATTATCATGCTACAAACTTCCACCAATAGACGCACCCCACGCACACATGATTTAAGTTACTTCTTCTGTGCTGTTCTACTAGTTATCATTTACTGTTTGGATTTTTATTTCATGCTCTCTTTGAATTTTGAATTTTTATACTGATTATTTTTCAAGTTTGCTATTTATTTTATCTAGTTTTAATTTGTACCTCATTTAGTTGTGGTATTGAATTTTCTTCCCAGTTACGGAACTTAGTCATTTTTCAACACTTTTCTTTTTTTTATCAACACAGGTGTTTGGTTTTCATTTTCATTAGGAATTCTGATGAAGTGCAAGTTACCATTTGTACCTTCTATTGGCACAATTACTCAAGCTTCGGGGGGGGGGGGGACTTTGGAATTATCGGCAATTAGTCATTGTTGGGGATCTTCCAGCAAACTTGGAATCACGAGTGGAATCTGTGAGACAGCAATTAACTCTTTCCTCATTGGTTGATCGCTTTTCTTGCATAGAGCCTCGACCATCCAATATTTCTTTTCCCTGTCCCAAATCTTCCCATCTGTTACCTGTTCTTTCCACTAAGAAATGTTCTTCTCATCATTTTATTTGATGCCGAGTGTCATGCTGCCAACAGTATCAGTGACTACCCTGTGGGTTTCAGGTCCGGTGGGGGCTTCTTTATCCCAATTTGTTCATCTATGGTGACACTTCACCAGGGATCTATTGGTCCTTCAGGTTTTAATCGAAGGACTTGTTATGAACTTCCTTTCCCCTCCTTTGTTGTCTCTGATACCCTTTCTTTTCCTTTGCCTTGGGATCCTACCACATGTCAACATCTGTCTGAGGCAGTGCAGGATCTTCTCTCTCTCTGAATGCCATCAAACCTGTGGTTCGCAGTTCTTTGGAATTCCAAGCTGTTTGTTGTCTCCAAGAAAACCAGAGACTGTCACAACTCAATTGCTTATTTGTGCTACCTTGTTTTACCATGGAGTCATTTCTCACCCTCAGGTGGGCTTTTTCTCCAGGTTTATGGAAGACCAAGGTCGACATATTGATTGCTTATCTCCATATTCCTATATTTCAGCAATCAAGATGCTACCATTGGTTTGTTCATCATGGAGTGGTTTATTAATTTTGCATTCTACCTTTTAGACTAGCTATGGCAGCAGCTGTCTTTTGTTGGGTGGTCAAGGCTTTTGCTGGACTCATAAATGCTCAAGGGTTGTGCTTCCACCATAACATGGATGATTGGCTTTTGTTGGCTCATTTCGAACTGGAGCCAACCTGACAAACTTATCTGCTTCTTTTGGAAGCAGCTCAGGTCATTTGTTTGATATTTGGTTGTTCCTACCCAAATATCGATTTGGATGTTTTTTTCAACACTTTTTCTGTGATACTCAACCTTCTCTTTGACTCTGTTTGATGGAGCTGGTAGTCATCAACATCCTTACTGTTCCCTTTCTTACTTCCTGCAAGGTTCTATCTCTCTTGGGAATGTGGTCTTCTATGACAGCACTTATTCCAATGGGTTGAGCTTATATAAGTGCCTTTCAATGGACTCTTTACGACCAATGGAACCTTCAGGGTCCCTTGGATATTCCTATTACCCTTCCTCCTTTCCTTGTATATGATCTGCATTGGTAGATGGACAAGGTTCATGCTTTGGCAGGGGTTCTGCTTCCTCCATTTCATCTGCATTTACATATTTTCATGGATGCTTTGCTTCACAGCGGGGGTCGAGCAGCAAATCACTTCAGGTTAATGGTCTTACCATATCAATATCCTGGAGCTTCTTGCTGTCCATCAGGCTTTGGATCATTTTCTTCATCTTGCCAGCAGTCCTCTCATTATGATCCATACAGACAATTCTACAGTGGCATATATCAATCACCAAGGAGGCACCTGTTCACATCCCCTTTGTTGTCAAACATTGGATTTTCTTTTCTGGGCCCACATACAAAGTATTCATCTAATTGCATGTGATGTTCCTGGTGCTTTCAACCTTGTCACGGATCATATGTTCCACCCAGGCAAAATATTTTTGACAGAGTGGTCTCTAGATCCTCAAATTTTCCAGTGGTTATGCACTTGGATGGGTACTTCAACCTGGATGCATTTGCCACTATCCTCAACACCAAGTTACCTCTGTTTTGGTCTCTGGTGCCTCATCTACTTGCTCTGGCTGTAGATGCATTCTGTCAAGATTGGACAGACAAATTTCTTTATATATATCCTCCTATCTGACTCCTTCCCAGGGTGATTTCTATCATCCACTCCACTCTATGTCAAGTCCTTCTGATTGCCCCTTACTGGCTGCCCTTGTCATGGTTTCCACGGTTGCTCCAGATTCAATTTGCTCCACCATTGTCTCTTCTTAGAACTCCATCCCTTCTATGGCAACCTTGGTCCCAGGTAGTTCATACTGCCATTTCTACTCTTTATCTTTATGCCTGGTTTTTATCCAGTCCTTGGTGAGGAGATTCAGTTTATCATGGGGAATAGCTTCTTTGTTGGCACATTTCATTTGACCTTCTTCCATTGAGTATTATCAATGAAAGTGGAATGTCTTCTGCTGTTGATATTTGGGTCAGGGGTCTTTGGTCTCCTTAACTGCAGATTATTAGTTGGCCTTAACCTACACATTTTGTTTTTCCCAGTACCATAAAGTTTTTGCCTCCCATACCTTATCACTCTTGTTATGTTCCATCTGGCTTAGTCGACCTCCCTGGCATGCACCCTTCTGGATTGGGATGTCCATGTGATGCTTCACTGACTTACTTTACCTCCCTTTGAACCTTTGTCTTCTTGTTCCGTGTTTCATTTATCCCTTAAGGCACATTTCCTTCTTTTGGCTTGTGGATGCTATCAGCCAGATTTCCCATTGATGTTTCACGTACTCTGAACCATTCCTCTTATCTTCTCCTTTACCCAGATTGATCTTTCCTTCCCAAGACTTTGGCGGCTTGGAAGGGTAATTCCTCCTCCTCACTGATTTTCCTCCTTCCATTTCCCACCTCTGTTCCAGGTCTCATCCACATAGACTTCTATGTCCAATTCATGCTCTTCATTGTTATATTCCCTGCATGGCTTTTTTCTGTCATATTCGTTCCTGCCAATTCATCCCTTGGCAACTGTCCTCTGTCTCTGTCCGTGATCTCTCCCCTTCCACCCTTACCAATTGGTTTTGGCTTTAAGTTCGATTAACTTCTTCTTCCTTGTCTACTTTATACTGTCAATTATTCCAGGTGTCTTCCCATCAGATTAACCCTTTTCGAGAGGTCATGGGTGAAAGGCCATGTCATCTCATTTGTTGACTTGCATTCAAAATTTTATTCAACTACTATTTCATGATTTGATGTCAATAAGTTTAGTATCAAACTGTAGATTATAATTCATATTTTAGTACTATATATTACTCAATTTCTTACTTTACAAGTAAATGTTAAAAAAAATACAGATAAACATTGATTTTTGTGTCACTTGGTACGTTTAATGCAGCACTGGTTCAAATCAGATGTTTGTGAAGTCAAAATACTAAGTCTTTAGTTTCAAATGAATTAGAAACTCAAATTACCAATATTAACAAGCTAGAATATAAAATAAATGCCTCTTATCTTTTCAATTTGCTAAGATATTGCTCATGTAATAAATCAAACATCCCGCCTACCCCTTTCCATTTTTGGAAATACTTCCTTATATACACTTCTATAAATGACATGAATAACCAATCGGAAGCTCAGAATGTCCCCCTAGTGGCTTTCTCATCTATTTTAATGGACTTGGCACTATTTCTTTCTTTTGAATTAATATTTCAACAAGGTAGGGTGTGTCTTTAGTCTGCTCAAAATTTCATATTTTTTATATTTAAATACATCTTAGTTACTAAGCTTTATAAATTATAGTGGAATTCTATGGTATTAATGTAGTAATTTATGATTTTTTAATTATTCAACTGTATATATAAAACCTAAAAAAAATATTTTGTTTCATATCCTCCATGTGCAATTTACGTCAAGCAGCAACCGAGTACAAAGGTCGTAACTAGAAGAGATAATTGTTTGCTTTACTTTACTTTATTAGTTACTCTTCTATGTTTTAAGAACAATAAGTTTAAGAACTTATTTTAACATAGCAATAATCTATATACATATATAATGTATAATAATTGAAATTTGACTGTATTTTATAAAATACTAGTCTACTAAAAGACAGCCAAGACAAGTTACTTTGCACAGACGAATGGTCAGTGTTATGTTATTTGATACACTAACATATGTGCATATGAGCCGTGTCATTGTAACTTCTGTATTGTTAACCAGGCACGGCTGAAAGGTTAATATTATAAAAATAATAAATATATATAAATGTATAATATTATGAGGTTTAAGCTATTAAGTCTAAACATTTATGTTTTCGTGTTATAATTTGTGTTCATTCTAGAATGAAAGGAGCATAATTTATATTTTTTCCTAATTACTTATTCAGGTTACGAAGTTGGTCAAATGAACCCAACCCGTACAGAGATACAGTAGTGAAAATAAAAGATGAAATGTAAAAAAAAATATAATTTGTGTTCATTCTAGAATGAAAGAGGCATAATTTATATTTATTTCCTAATATTTTATGGTGGTTGCGAGATTGGTGAAATCTACCGAACCCATACAGGGATTAATTACTCAAAATAACAGATAAAATATAAAGTTTTTTCTTAAGAAATGTTTGATAACTATCTCGACATTATAAAGATTTCGCATATGAAATTTCAAAATTTTCTGAAACATAAAAGTATTTTTAATCTTAAAATGAATATTATTTTGCATGTTAGATAGGCAACATGTGAAAATAAAAAAAAGACATCAGAAAAACATTGCTTTATAAACCTTAAGACTTAATAAAAAAATGAGTTATCGTGCATATGAAAGCATTGTAAAGTTTACTGATAATCTGCCAAATTTCTTTAATATTCACATATTAATTTAAAAGTTATAGCATGAAAACTATAACAAGCACGAAATGGTTACAAGGTTGGTCCCAGGGACCGAGCTCATGCTGAAAGAGTTAAGCACTTTACTTTTTCCCTGGCATTTCATCTGCATCGTCCTTTGGAGGAAATTCTTCAAGCGAGCATGTGGACCACTCCAAACACTTTCATCTCTCACTAGATGCATTGTGTTGCTGTTTCTTTCTTGTTGGGTTATTGTTTTTCACCTCTTGCCATTCTTCAGACTTTGGTGCAACTATAATTGGGTAAGTTTTCTTTCTGTCATTATATATATTTTTTAGGGACCTGTCCCATGTTTTGATCTGGATCCCACTCTGTGGTGAGTAGTGCCTGCCCAGGTTCAATCACTTAGAATTATACTCAAATTTGCACTGTGAGGCCATGTTGACTTCACTTTCATAATTTCCAGGGCCACTAAATGTACACTACCATATATGTTAGAGATGGGGTGTTCCACAAGATTGCTCATAGATTATTCCTTGTGATATCTTTGCTTCATAAATATGCCTGTGTCCTGGACCGTTCTGACCCATACATTTCAAGGGTAAAGCAGAAGGAAATTGCTGCCTATCCCTGCCATTGCTTAGATTTAATAAATTGGGTTTGATCTGCTTTTCAAGAGAGGGTTTTGTGGCCAACCATTGCATTGTCTCCAATGTGAACATTCCTCCAGACTATCCACCACATTTTTCTCCCCCCAATTCTTCCAGTGGAGTAAAAGAGTCCTCACCAATTTCCAGTTCCAAGCCACTGGGGTGATGGATCATGGAGGTATCCTCTTGAATTTGAGACATACAATATAATCAATAATGACTCCTTTCCGTTGAGAGTAGGGCAGTGGTGTTCTGCTGGTGTAGTAGATGGATATCCTCCATAAAGATGCTCCAACTGTACATCGGCTTATCTGAGGGAAGGATGTAGCTTTGGAGTGGATCACCATAATGATTGGTATCCCTCATCTTATCCCTGTCGGTTTCCAGCAGTTGAGTTTTGGAATTAGAGCTGAGACAATCAACATCATGTCCTCACACATGTTGTGCAATTGAGTTCCTCATCCTACCCCTACATGCATGAGTTTTGGATTTAGAGCAGAACCAATCCCAATATGTTTTCACACATGTCGTGTGATTGGGATCCCTCATCCTACCCCCATATGGATGTCGGTTCCTCGCAGTTGAGCTTTGGATTTAGAACTGAACCAATCAACATGATGTATTCACTCATGTGGTGGGCTGGCAGTTCACCCCTTCGATTAGGATCCCTCATCTTACCCCTGCATGGAAATTGGTTCCCAATGGTTCAGTTTTGGATTTAGAGCTGAACCAATCACCATAAGTTCTCATACATGTGTTCAGGGGATGCCTGTTTCCTCACTCATTTTGCCTTGGGTGCACTGCCCTGGTGTTGTGGGTCATGATAGGTGCACTTATTTGGTTGCTCCACTTTTTCCTCTTGCACTAACCCTTGACATCTTTATACTGAGGATGTTACTGTGTTTGAGATTGTCTGGCCTGTTTCATTTGAGTGGGATATATTTGTATTTTGCTCATTTCACATGTGCCCTATTCCCTGATCAGTAGTGGGATTTCTCCCTTCATTTGGCTGAACTTGAGTTGAAGATGGTATGATCTTCTTTCCTACCCCACATGGATGTTGGGATATATTTGTATTTTGTTCATTTCACATGTGCCCTATTCCCTGATCAGTGGTGGGATTTCTCCCATCAGTTGGCTGAACTTGAGGTGAAGACGGTATGATCTTCTTTCCTACCCCACATGGATGTTGGATCCCAGTGGTTGAGTTTTATATTCTAGTTGTCTTACCAACAATATAACCCTTGTCCTACACCTACATAGATGTTGGTTCCTGGTGGTCATGTTTTGGATGCAGTTGACTTGCCATGTATGGTCTGTCATGCCCTAGTCACTCAACACCTTGGGGCATATCCCTTATTTTACCCATATTCTGATCATCAGGGAAATTGAAATGATAATATATTGTGGTTTGGATCACTGTTCAACCGTTTTATCTCCCTTTGGGATATGCTCCTCACAAATTTCCACCTGGATCTGTCACACCTTTTCAACATTTGTGCAAAGAGTATACCTGGTACAGAAGTGGTGCAATCTCCCAAATATAATCCACCCTCAGAAGGATGTCCTTTAGTCACTTTTGAAGGATGCTTCTATTGTCTCCACCTATTCAGTGTGGGATTCTAGCTATGTATGTGAGTGGTTAAGTAATTTGTTGGAAGTTATAATTTTACTACATTGAAAATATATTTCAGACAGATATTTACTTCTCACACATCCCACCCTTTCCTCCTCACTGTCAACTGGTGCTTAGGTTTCTGCTTAAACTTGAAGTGATAGTTAGGTAGAATAGCATAGAGGAAGTAACATTAGTCACATGTGTGTGAGGTGTGTCTGTTGGTTGAGGTTTGTTGCATAACAATTTCCATGCAAGATTCAGTTAAACCATGTGAACTGAGGGGTACATGGGAGTGAAAGGCTTGTGGCATGTGAAAAAAATTTTGCACTGAACAAGAATAGCTATGATTGTGAGTGGAAGTAATTACCTGTCAGAAATACAGTTTCAGTGTAGGAAAATTATAACTTTACATGGAGAGCAGAAATTTACTGGGTACAGAGTATGTTTGTTTAAATTATAAGATTGCATTTTGAATGCAGTGTGATGTATTGTGTTTTAAAATTATATTTCGTTTGATATACTGTTTTTGTATTTGAATTTTTAGTATGTTAGAACTGTAAAAGATGGCACCCATCTTGAACAAGAAGCCTATTGCCGCCCCGTCATATCCAGAAGCATCTGTGGGGGTAAGATTAAATTTTAGTAAATGTTCTTACATATATTTTCCATTTGTAAACCTTTATTAAATATGTTTTTTAATTCCATTATATATTAAAGGGCCCGGCATGGCCAGGTGGTTAAGGCGCTCGACTCGTAATCTGAGGGTCGCGGGTTCGAATCCCCGTCACACCAAACATGCTCGCCC